TTTCTGTATATCAGGAAAAGCTTTACGAAAGCGAGGGGTACCGAAACAAACAAGAAAAATCATTATTGAATCATGGAGAATGGGCACGCGTAAACAATATGACTCATATATCATATATCAAAAGATGGTTACATTATTGTCAAGGGGAGACAAATCCCTTTGCACCGCATATAAACACCCTCTTAGGTTTCTTAGAGTATCTTTACGAACAGGGTTTAAGTTACACAGCTATTGGAACAGCCAGATCAGCAATTAGTTCGACTGACGGGTAACATTGATGGTAATCGCTATTGACCCATAACATTGATATAAAGAATAATGAATTAATTACGAGATTTATGAAAGGTATTTTCCAATTAAGACCGGCACTGCCACGGTACACATCCACATGGGGCGTTAAAACTGTTATAAATTATCTACAGAAGATGGACACTAGCTCGCTTCTTTCATTATCGTGTAAACTATGCATGCTGTTTTTATTGGTCACGGTACAGATGTGTCAAACTTTACATACAATTAACGTCTCAGATATCTCTATTAGATCTGACAGAATTATTATTCGGATTACAAGTGTTCTGAAACAAACACGACCAGGTGTACATGGACCACCAATAATATTAATTGCATTCCCGGATAACTCTCGATTGTGCATTGTTGAAACTTTGAAAGAATATTTAAATAGGACAATACACATGCGGAAAGATAAACAGGTGAAGCCACATGGTTCAGTTTCAAAACAAACTGTCGGCAGATGGATCAAAATTACAATGTTAAAAGCCGGAATTCAGGAATACTTTAAACCACATAGTACAAGACATGCCAGTACTTCTTATGCATTATACAAAGATGTTCCTTTAACTGAAATTATCAAAGCGGCAGGCTGGAACAATTCTAGTACTTTTAAAAAAATTTACAACAAAACATTCTCAAAAGATACTAATAAATTACAAATGAGTATTATTAAATGATGAAATATATAAAATAAATATAATAATAATAATAATAATAATAATAATATGTCGTTGGAATGTTTATTGGGGTTTTGTTTGGTCATAGTACATAATTATATGTATAATAATTATTATATAATTATTTTGAGTGGAATTTGAATATTTCGTAGCAATTTGCTCTAAACAATCTGTGGGGCACTTAAGGGAGTTAATGTGTTGGGTGAAATTTAATGATTAAGCTAGACTTACCTTCGTAGAAGTAAGGCGAAGGTCGATCATAATTTCATCCGACACAAATCTCCCTAAGGGCTCACACGCCCGCCCGCTTCCACCCGATAAAAATTGCTCCAAAATATATACACGTTACTTTCTCAAAAAAAAGAATGAATACCTTGGCTGCTGGTAGCTGCGTTCCTTATCTGTGTGAGCCCGTAGGGAGTTTTGTGTCGGATGAAATTATGATCGACCTTCGCCTTACTTCTACGAAGGTAAGTCTAGCTTAATCATTAAATTAGATTTTACAATTAAGTCTGAATTACGATGGTAAAACTTCGTTAAATATTTGCGCACTTTACGATAACGATAGCCTTGTTTGAGAAGTTTGCCAGTGATAGAAAAATTACCTTCATCAAAACCATCCGCCCAACTTAACACCCTAGCAAATCTTATTTAGAGAAATATACACCAAATATGATGGAACATAGGGTATCATCTCTGTTATCATGGTTTTTAGTTAATATAGTACTAATATAGCATTGTTTATCATGATAAAAATATCTAAATCTAAAAACAAGAACCGGGTTCTTAAGCATTGCAGTTCTATCCAATGGGATCTATCTACCTACAAAGTTTCATGTTGGTATCTCTTATAGTTACGTCCCAGAAAAAACGTCAAAAAGTACAAATAAACAAGTGGCAATAACTTCAAAATAAGACAAGGCAGAGTTATGATTCTTTAGCACTGGACTTCTACCCAATTAGACCTATCAACCTACAAAGTTTCATGTTGATATCTCTTACAATTTTAGAGTAATGTCCCGGACAAAGTTCAAAGTGTAAAAAAACAAAGGGCAATAATTCAAAAATTAGGAAAGGAAGAGTTACGCTTCTTGTGCACTGCACACCTACTCAATGAGATCTAATTACCTACAAAGTTTCATGTTGATACCTTTTATAGTTTTAGAGTTATGTCCCGGACAAAGTTCACAGTGTAAAATAAACAAAGGGCAATAAATCAAATATTAGGTAAAGCAGAGTTACAGTTCGTATGCACTGCGCACCTACTCAATGAGATCTATCTACCTACAAAGATTCATGTTGATACATCTTATAGTTTTAGAGTTATATCCCGGACAAAGTTCAAAGTGTAAAAAAAATAAAAAAAGGGCAATGATTCAAAAATTAGGCAAGGCAGAGTAACGGTTATTGTGCACTCTGCACACCTACCCAATGAGATCTATCTACCTACAAAGTTTCATGTTGATACCTCTTGATATTTCAAAGTTTTGTCCCGGACAAGAAAAGCGGACGGACAGAAAGACAGACGGACGGACGGACAAGGCGGCGACTATATTATGTAGTAATGTTTTAAGAGTGTGTCTTGTTGTTTTATTGTTGAAAAAAAAGATAACTTTAAGGTGGCAATATTTTATACAGGGTAGACTAAAGATGAAGCTGGATAATTATTCATAATTTAAACTTTTTATCCAAATTTTCATTTAAAGTTTTAACAGAACAGCAGATCAAAAAGATGCTTGCCCTTATTTTCATAATCTGTTTCATAATATCTAATTGAAAGTGCTTTAATAGCAGTAAGACAAGAAGTCAATGGAATAGAAAGACTACTGGCAGTGCAATAAGTAGAATAAGCAATGAAGCGAAATAGGTACCTTTTAGTTAGAAAAGCTAGAGATATGACTGTCAATTATATCCTTTTCAGAAATAAAGGTTTTAGAATAAGCGCTGTCAAGTTCATTTTTTCAATATTTATAAAATGGATGCGTCATACAAAAATTATGTTTTTTGTCGCCTAATTAGCAGGAACAAAACAAATTTAAAGTGGAACGCTAATATATCCGTTCTAAGATGTCATATATTTAGTCAAGGTGAAGGTGGTAAAATACGTTCATTTCCACGATAAAATTCGATACGTGATTTAATAATTTCAAATATATTATGTTTCCATGAAAACGTTTCACAAAAAATGTCAGATAGAGTAGTTTTGCATATATCCCTCATTATATGTTTAAGTATGGTCAAAGGTTAATGGCCGAAGTTCCAAAAAGATCCGTTATCACATAACCACATACAGGAGTTATATAGGGCACCGAACAAAAACAGGAGAGTGCAGAACGACGGAGCCAGCATTGGCGAAGGGTTGTTATTGTTAAAAATTAAATAAAGGAAATCTATTGTTAACAATTAAATTAGGGAAATCTAAGAAAACTTAATTAAACCACTAAACAAGGCAATCAAATAAAAAAACTTAAAGTGACAATGATAAAATTGACAGGAGAGTGAGGGAGTGGAGACGTTTATCTATATGTTGCCACATGATGTGATGGTCATTCCTAAGAAAATTTTCAGTTTCTATATGAGTATATGTTATACCTATACATATGCTTATTTATATTTATTTTATGCTTTTCAGTGGATTACTGATTTATCCGTGAAAATTATATTTGATAATTTCACAGTGAAAATTATCAAAATATAAATTCACACTTTTCAATGACGAAACTACTTTTTTAAGATTTTCCCCATGTGGTACCTCAATTTTATTTTTGCTGACACTTCTGACAATGTCAGGCTGTTAAAAGAAAAAGCAAAGCTGAAATTGATAAATAACTTAAATGTCAAAAGTAATAAAAAGAAGAAAACTTACTTCTATTCATTCAAATTCCAATCACCAAATTTCGTCTCTAAAATAATTTGTTTCATTTTTACAGTCTGAAAAATACATTCCTTCCACATGCAAAACTGCTCTTGATGACATTTGGGCATATTTAAGTATCCTACAAACAATAACTGCCGTATCCTTTATGAAAATTGAAAAGCAATGACAGCCATCCTCGTAGAATAAGTAAAACAACCCAGCGTTTCCTGAGCCAGCTTCCAAGTTTCCATTTCCATAGCTGCTTTATTGAATGTTTTCACATCTGTCAACACTTATTTTTTGTCTTTTACAGTCCTCAAATAAGTTTTCTTTCTTTTAAAAAGGTGTATGACTAACAAATCCAAATGATATCCCTCTGAATCAAACACAATTATTTTCCTCCCGTGAAATACACAACTTTAAAAAAAATGGCGACCGCTTACATTTAACAAAGCCAGGTCTAATATAAATTCGCAGTAAGTAACAGAAATATGGATGGATGGTTGGACTTTTTCTCCTACAAGAATTATTATTAAAACAAGCGATCATTCATATTTCTTTAAATAAAATAAATAATATCACCGCCATATAACGTTGATTGTCGGACTTATTTTTTCAGCTCAAGACTTCTTGTTTTTAATGAGAAATTCCGACTAAATGGGGCTCTCAATGGGGTAAACAGATTTTAATATTAACGTTAATATTATGGAAATTTCGTTTTAACTTGATTTTAAGCATAAAATAAAAAGAAAATTTGTTTGTTGGTTGTGTTAGATGTAATTTTATTTCATCTCGTGAACTTTAAAAACAGTTTTCTCACTCGTGGCTACGCCACTCGTGAGAATACTGTTTTTAAAGCCCACTCGATAAAATAAAATTTCATCACAAACAAACAAACATATATCCTCTATGTATTATGTTAGTAAATATATGGTTTTAATTATCTTGTGTTCTGTGTCTTAAGATACCTGTTACTCTGTCTTATGTGCTTGTTTCTCTTCAAATATGGACTCATACTAGTATATGATCATGCGTATTGTTGCACATGTATATTTTACTATTGATGAAACTTTAGAATAAACCGTAGGTGCACGTGTATTTTATACACTAAACTTTTAGTACCCATGAAGTTTAGAAAGAGTATGTATACATGCTTTTTCATTGAAATAACTCACCCAAGTGAACTTTTGTAATATGTTTGTAATCGAAGCAATGAGCAGCCGTAAGGATCCACTGGTCCTTTAACACAGAGCCCCCGCATTCGTGGCTGTGCTGCAAGTAAATAAAAATATGATCGTTTAAAATCAACATATCATATATAAGATGAGACCTTTATTAGGTTTTGTATTTACAAACAAATTTTGAGGACAAGAAAGACAAAGAAGCTGATTCCATTAAATCTCCTTTACAGCGTTATTGTTACAATTTGTGTTAGGAAAGCTCTTTATTAACAAATATATAGATAAAAAATAAGAAAAAAGCCCTTAAAATCTCATAGTTCATTGTTTGTTTTCCACTTCAGAAGTGTTAAAGCAATACATTGAATTGTTGCTGCAACGTTGTTATGAAAAATGAAGTCTTATGCGATACTTAAAGATAAATATAATCCAGAGTTTCAAAAAACGTTTATACAAAATTGTTCTTTCTTAAGACACTTTCGCTGCTGTCCCATTCACAGCACCATGTATTTGCTAGAAGACGGGCATTGATATACCGAAATTTCCTAATCATTCTTAAAGGGACTCCACTGAGGTTTAAAACCCTAAAAACATACATTTGAATTCCGTACATAAATGAGCTGGGGCACTTTAAACAGAAATGTATGCTTAGATATTAAAGAAATATACTTTGAAATAAATTGAAAATCGTATTTGTATGCTTTTCTTAGCCCAATTTGAGTGAAAAGCGTTTATACGCTTTTCATTTTAGGTATTTTATTTACAATTTAAATAACTATCCTGGAAAAATGAAGTATGCGAATGATCTGAAATTTTGCACACAAATTAGTGGTCCAAGCCTACACCAAATGGAACATTTATCTTGAAAAAATATTTTCAGCCCCATCGTGTCAAAAAACCTCAGTGGAGTCCCTTTAAGATTGTATCAAAAATTTGGTTGAGACAAAACAAAATAAAAATCATTATAAACTTTGTAACTTTCTTCGATAGAAACGACATTGTCTCATATAAAATACATCAAGTGAAAAGGTACTGATCTACTTTAGTTAACTTCTTTACTTCTATAAATGACACCCGTCATCCCCGACCCAAATAATAATGTTTAATTCTAGCAGCAAAAGCGTTTTAAAGTGTTTTTAAATTCTATAAGTACCAATGTTCGAAGGTCTGCCATCCATGGCCAAGCATTCTTTTTGGCGTTAACTTCAAATCTGTTTTCTGATGCATTTGATATGCATGTTAAATTTGGGTTTGTTGATCCACAAGATACGTTTAAACTATCTAAATGATAAGAAAATAAAACAATTTGATAAAAACATTATTTAGTATTTGAAAGTAAGAAAAGTGCTGCTGTAAGTCGACTTTGTTACTTATACAGATCATCACTAGTGTAATTATGCGAATAGATGAAAACAGTTATGGTTATAGTAAATTTCTTGCTTATAAACTAAGTGTGTACATGTAACAATAACTAATAAAAAATTGTTACTCAAATGGTAGGCTTGTATCAATGGTTGATGGTAGCTACCACCCATTTGTTTTAGCAAGAAATGAAGCGGAATTTGGCATGTCATTAAGAATTAAGTATCATCGGCTCAGTTAGACGACAATGGAATAGAACCTAGATATTCAAGATGTGAAATTGAATGGATTCAAGATTGAGAAAATCCTCTATTTTTGTAACCTTGAGAAGAAAACTTATTTAATTGAAACATTTCAAAACTGGACAAAAGAAAATGTGAAGTAAGAAAAAAAACAACAGTTTGACATAACCAGCGATACATGACTTCTATAAAAAATCGTAACAAAATATGAAAGTAAAAATAAATTTATTTACATACTTTCTTTCAAAGTGACAAATTATATTAACCTCCTCATGTTTTTTGAGGAAAATTCAATCGAATGAAAACTTACATTTAAGGTAAAAATTTAACATTAAAATCAAAGTCTATGTAGTGATGATTTTTTCTTCAATCTTTTTGTAATGTATTATTTTTTAATAAACCTGGACGAGTCGTTTATGATGAATTTGATACTGGACTTATGTACATAAATGTAACATAAAGAGAAGGACTTTATATCAACCGAAAATGAATATCGTTAAAAAGTGATTCCTAGGAAGCATAATTAAACCACGATTTAAAAAATGGAGACTTATAATTATTTAACACAAACAGTATGAATTGGATAAAATGAGGTGGATTGTTGGAATATTTATTTATAAAAACACTTGATTACTTTATGATGACACAACTAAAATGAAAACTATTTGACAAGTCTTATTTTGTTTATTGATTTAGAAAAGTGTTGATTCCATTTCTTGGCATTTCTTTACAAAGAAAATCTTTGATGTTTTTTTCTATTTATGTGTGCAATAAAATTAAAACAAGAGGGCGATATATCGCTCAACAAATCAATCTAGGTCAACTGGTTTCAAAGTTTGAAACTGCAGCTAATTATGTAGCAGTAATCTTTAGCACTATTTACTTAAAGAACGTCACTGACTCATAACCAACATCTAGGTCAAAGTTCTATTCTGTATCTGAGCTGTGCTAAAAGTCAAAATTGCATAGTTTAAGTTCTAACTCAGATTTTTAAACAAGACGACCACAAGGTAAAATCTAGGCCAAAAATGTCAGTTTTGCATTTTTGCAATATCATTATTGGTGAAAGCAAAATATGTCACACGGTTAAATTATTCAAACAAGGGAAATCCACGTTAGACGGACAAAATTAGACTCAAGGGCTTTAATTTAATAAACTTGGAAGAGGTCTACTAGACAATGTTTCATGCTAAATATCTTAAAGTAGGCCTTCATGATTTATGGATAGAAGATTTATTCAACTTTTAACTTTATACAAACAAGGAAAATCTATGATCGCCGATATTGGGCCAAATTAAACAGCAGGATTTTAATTTGAAAACACACTGGGCTTAATATTAAAGAAGGACTTCTGAAAACCAATGCAATGAGAGTCACTTTTAATACATTTAACTTTGAATTATTCGTGAGATTATTGAGATTAAAATGTCGATTAAAACTAAATTAAAACTTTCATGCCAACTATATGATCAGATTAAATCATGGTTTTGATTTTTTTTTAGTTTTCACTGTTTACATATAACGAAAATAAATGACCACTTTAGGCAGGGCTAATTAAGACAACAGAGCTATAATCTTTACTAAAATGGTAAACGTTCAATAGACAATGTTACATGCCAAGTATCTAAGCTTTAGTTTCTTTGTTTAAGAGAACATGTTGTTACTGTATAAACCAACAAGGAAAGTCTGTGACTCCCAACCCCGAGATAAACCAAAACAATAGTCAGATCAAATTTTGTAGAGATCAAGTAGACAACGTTTCATGCTTAAATCCTTACCTTTAGCCTTAATTATTATAGAAAAGAAAAATGTTTAAGTTTTTTACTATAATTATCTCGTGTACTTATAACAATAAATAATAACGCTCACTGCGGTGCTTATTTAGACCCTAGGGCTTTAATTTGAACAAACTTGTTAGAGGCTTACTTGTCAATATTTCATGCTAACTCGTACATATTTGAAAAACGTATGGCCCTTGGGACGAGTAAATATTGACACAAAGACTATAATTTTAACAATGTTTGTGAGAGGACCGCTAGGCAATGATTCATGCTTAATATGTATAGCAAGGTGAAGCACTTGAAATTCTCAACAGGATTTTGAAGTATTTACTAAAAAATGAAAAATCTGTGACCCTTTGGTTGGAGCAAATTTCCAGTCTATGGCTATAATTTGAACAACATGTGTATAGTTTCATAAAATGATGTAAACACAAACTATCTAAGCGCTAGGCCTGATGTTAAAATATTTCTTTTTTTTCAAATATACTTTAGCTCTCCTGACCCAGATGTTAATTGGAGCAAAACAATTTGATATTTTAGAAGAGTTTCATGCTTAAAGCATCCAAGAAAAAAACATTAAATTTGGCCAAGTAATTTCAGAGGAAAAGTCATTTGAAAACGCTGACGACGGACGCACTGACACACGGAGGCACTGGCAGTCAATGGATACAGGGCAATTTGCAATCACAAAAGTTAAAAATAGGTTAAGGTACTTTATTACATAACAAACCATTTTTCAAACTTTATAACAGTAAGCTGTAGGTGTTGACAATAGTTTATAATCGCCATATGTATAACCATATTTACAGAAAAAAAGATAAAAATTGGTATTCACATTTATATACATATACAAAAATGGTAAAAAAAAATGTAAAGAGTACTGTTAATAATGTAAAACAAGCATAATATTCAATATTTTCTTACTTTGCAAAATCGCAAATCGACACCGATAAGAAGCATAACTGATTTTTAAAATCTTGAAATTCAGGTCATAATTCAGCTATTCCATCAAAAATCAATACCAATAAAGGATAAATCTTGGTACAAAAAGGTGCTACATATATCAATGACATTTTAATATAAACAACAAACTTTGATTACAAAACATGTTTGGTTTTAATTTACCAAACAACATTATATGGGAATCAAAAATCGAATACCCTGTATCCCTCAAACGTTGTTTGACAACACTAAGAAACCCCTTTTCATCCACAAACTTAGTTTTTTTCAAAAATAGAATTATCACTTAGAGGCCAAATTTCTCCTTCGAAGATTCTGATCTATATCATTTGTCAGTCAATTAAAAACTCGTTTGTATTTCATTGAAGTGTTTCTTGTCATTGTTTTGTAATTTATCAGCTGCTGATTAGGATATCTTCCACTAAACTGCTGTGTATTTAAAAACAAGAGGGCCATGATGGCCCTGGATCGCTCACCTGACACAACCCCCTCCAGGCAATGTCTTAAACAAGCATCATGACCAAGTTTGATGACAACTGAGTCAAACATGTGACCTCTAGTGTGTTTTAAAGATTTTTCCATATTTGGGCAATGTGACCTAATTTTTGACCGGACACGAACCATATTCGAACTTGACCTAGAAATCATCAAAACAACCTTCCTGACAAATTTCCAGGAAATTTGGATCAAAACTGCAGCCACTAGAGTGTTAAAAAGATTTTTCTATTTTTAGCTCCTGTGACCTAGTTTTTGACCGGACATGACCAATAATAGCACTTGACCGAGAAAACATCAAAACAACATTCTTGACTAATTTCCAGAATATTTGAATCAAAACTGCAGCCACTAGAGTGTAAACAAGCTTTTTCTATTTTTAGCTCCTGTGACCTAGTTTTTGACCTGAGATGACCCATCTTCGAACTTGACCCAGAAATCATCAAAACAACCTTCTTGACAAATTTCCAGAATATTTGAATCAATACTGCAGCCACTAGAGTGTTAACAAGCTTTTTCTATTTTTAGCTCCTGTGACCTAGTTTTTGACTGGAGATAACCCATCTTCGAACTTGACCTAGAAATCATCAAAAAAAAACTTTCCTGACAAATTTCCAGAATATTTGGATGAAAACTGCAGCCCCTAATGTGTTAACAAGCTTTTCTATTTTTAGCTCCTGTGACCTAGTTTTTGACCGGAGATGACCCATCTTCGAAGTTGATTTAGATATCATCAAAACAACCTTCTTGACAAATTTCCAGAATAGTTAGATGAAAACTGCAGCCATTAGAGTGTTAACAAGCTTTACCTATTTTAGCTCCTGTGACCTAGTTTTTGACCTGAGATGACCCATCTTCGAACTTGACCTAGAAATTATCAAAACCACCTTTCTGACAAATTTCCAGAATTTTTGGATGAAAACTGCAACCATTAGTGTTAACAAGCTTTTTCTATTTTTAGCTCCTGTGACCTAGTTTTTGACCAGACATGACCCATCTTCAAACTTGACCTAGAAATCATTAAAACAACCTTCCTGACAAATTTCCAGAATATTTTAATCAAAACTGCAGCCACTAGAGTGTTAACAAGCTTTCTCTATTTTTAGCTCCTGTGACCTAGTTTTTGACCGAAGATAACACATCTTCGAACTTGACCTAGAAATCATCAAAACAACCTTCCTGACAAGTTTCCAAAATATTTGGATGAAATCTGCAGCCCCTAGAGTGTTAACAAGCTTTTTCTATTTTTAGCTCCTGTGACCTAGTTTTTGACCGGACATGACCCATCTTCGAAGTTGATTTAGATATCATCAAAACAACATTCTTGACAAATTTCCAGAATATTTAGATGAAAACTGCAGCCACTAGAGTGTTAACAAGCTTTTTCTATTTTTAGCTCCTGTGACCTAGTTTTTGACCGGACATGACCCATCTTCGAAGTTGATTTAGATATCATCAAAACAACATTCTTGACAAATTTCTAGAATATTTGGATCAAAACTGCAGCCCCTAAACTGTTAACAAGCTTTTTCTATTTTTAGCTCCTGTGACCTAGTTTTTGACCGGACATGACCCATCTTCGAACTTGACCTAGAAATCATCAAAACAACCTTCCTGACAAATTTCCAGAATATTTGGATGAAAACTGCAGCCACTAGAGTGTTAACAAGCTTTTTCTATTTTTAGCTCCTGTGACCTAGTTTTTGACCGGAGATGACCCATCTTCGAACTTGACCTAGAAATCATCAAAACAACTTTCCTGACAAATTTCCAGAATATTTGGATGAAAACTGCAGCCACTAGAGTGTTAACAAGCTTTTTCTATTTTTAGCTCCTGTGACCTAGTTTTTGACCCGAGATAACCCATCTTCGAACTCGATCTGTATTTCATTGAGACAAACATTCTGACAAAGTTTGATGATGATCCAATCAAAACTGTGACTGCTAGACTGTTAACAACCCAATTGTTGACGACGCACGACGACGGACGCCGGACATAGCCCCATCACTATACCTCACCTTGACCACTTCGTGGTCAGGTGAGCTAAAAATGGGTTAGGGTATTTTGATAAATAATTGGGATTCAATTTTATGCAATTATATAGGTCTCATTTTGACAAGGAGATCTGATTACATCTTCCCAGTTTTGAATAAAAATATTTTTATGCGAAGACAATATTGTTTAGAGTGATTCTGAAGCACTTGAATAACACATTTTTCCAGTAATTAAGTGCTGATATGTATGGAACGTTATAAGAGAAGAGGAATGTGGGACTTATTTCATCACCTGGCCACTTGATAATATTTAAAATCATGATAATAATAATCATAATAATAGTAATATAAACTAAACATCATCTACACAATATTATAGTAGTCATTTGATAAAAAATAGATAAATTAAAAGCAAAAACAAAGTAAGCTAAGGAAATAGTGATAATCCTAAAGCCGCATGATAATAGAATAAAAACTCCCTCTTGATCAATTTGTGAGTCCATTTTTCTTTTTTCTTACTGTAGATGAATTATAGGATTTTGGAACCTAATGAACAATGTAATCATGACTTTTCATTTGAAACACTTTTGTCAAAAGAAAATAAATAAATAAAAAAAAAACAAAAAAAAAAAAAAACAACAAAAAACAGTACATATTATTGATAATATGAAGTCTGTAATGAAAGCGTAAAATGAGTCCGGGTTAATAATATTATTACAAAAATATTACACGACTTCAAATGCGTAATCCTTTAGTAAATATATAATACATTACAATGTTCGTTAACTTCTAAGTATACTTGACGTTTTGTCCATTTGGTTTATAAAATAATTTGTGAATAAAATAATGAAAAATAAGATATCTTCTTTTACCTCTGTTTATCATACTGCTCATGATTCGTTTAAAGTTAGACTCATCTGTACTGATTTTAAAGAAATGCTGTTCGTTTTCAATGTGTGAAGCTAGATTCCTCATCGTTTCTAAGCCTTTAGTATCAGTAAGGCTCCCAATTACAATTGAATATATTTCCACATCAAAGTCGTCTTTCAGTTTTGAAGCCGAATCAGTTGGATCATCCGTAGTTGTTAATCTTCCTGTAATGTTGTATAAATTTATTAAATATAACTCTATGTTTGTAAAATAATACTGAGTGGATATCAAACACAGCAAGGAAAAGCTTTATAGTGTATTAATGCATTGGTTCAAACTTGAATCTTATCGCCCTCTGACACCAATAATTTTATTCTTTTGTCGCTTATTTTCATATTATAAAGATACGTTATATATATAAAAAAATATCCCAATGATTTGTTGTTTTCTGCGTTATCTATCTTATAATTTATATCGTGTGATAAATACATATTCGTGTGTCCATACGTACATCATGTAAAAAAGTGAGAGAAAAAAAAAAAAAAAAAAAAAAAAAAAAAAAAAACACGCACACACAGAATGCCGAATCACCTCCAAAACTAACAAATAGAAATTGTTGCAAACTTTGATTGAGTCTGATATTGCACGGTACTAGAAATTGAAATGGACTGCGTCCACGTCAGTAGCACAAGCTTATTATAAGCAGTATTCAACATTAAATGTGAAATGTTAAAATATTGAATTTTGAAACATCTGCAGATGTATTTATACGGCCGGTATCATGGACCTTTAATGTGGCACGTTAGAACCATTCCATCAAAAGAGGCTTACGATTCCGAAGTAAAAGAAAGCTCTAAACAAGAAAACAATCGGCGGAATTTTGAAAAGGGAAGAGAGGTTATAAGCCAGCATATCACAGATAAGACGTCAAAAGACAAATCTAGAAAGCAGACATCATATATCAATGGTGATTATACATTATTTCAAAACCTTTATAATACTTCACCAAGAAAGATAGTTTCGCTTTTCAAGATTTGTTTCAAAAGATTTAAATCTTTAATGTAAAAAGGAATTTTCTAGGGGTGAAATTATGCAAATTAAAAATATTTGCAAAAATAAATGTTTGATAAGTAAAGTTAAATGGAACTGAAAATATAAATGAGCGAAAATCTGTCCAAGTTATTTATTTCTCGAATTTTTGTCCTCACAAAGTTTTGGATTTTATAATATATGTGATTTGAAATGCACAAAAGTCATTGCAAAATTAACAAATATTATTATTAAAAACATTGTTCGTTAATTTTTGTTGTATTAATTATGTTAATTTGCCTTAGGAACATACTTCACTGCAAACTATTTCACGAACTTGAAAAATGGATGTTGACGTATATCCAGTATTTTAAGCACAAACTTTTATGCGATAACTTACTCCTTTTCACGGGCGGTTCAATTCCCATTCTTTTAAACGAGAAAGCTTTCCAGTAAAATTATAAAAGATTGTTGGTTGTTATAAAGGGTTGCTATTGGACGATAACATACAAAGAGAGTTTCTAAATTATTCTGCAACTATCAAACTATAAAGTCCGCTCATGAACAGATCAGTATCAGTTGAATAAAATAAAATTTGTTACAGACGTAAATTGAATACTCCAAGAAAAAATTGTGACAAAGGTTAAGTTATGTATACATCGAAAGAGTTTTATTTCATAACAATTGTCACTTACCGTCACTGATAACTATCAAAACTTGTTGGGATTTTCGGCCCGGTTTCTTTCGTTTCGTCTTTATTTGGTCATATACGTCATTCAATGCAGCTGCAATATCAGTCCCATCACCTGTAAGTTTACGTTATATTTTACAATCAAATATGTTATAAATGACATTTTTTACCTTTGCAAAATGTTAACAACTCTTACACCGTTCAATCCAGTATGTAATTAACTCGTATCTCGATCAAGCTAGTATGTCATTTATTCTTACTTCGTTGAATCGAATATGTAATTAAAATTTATTTCGTTCAAATTGAATCCAGTATGTAAAATAAATCTATTTTTTTAAATTTCGTACAATTTAATAAGTAATAATAAGTAATTACCTCTTATTTCATTAAATTCTGTATGCCATTTACTCATTGTCTTGATTAATGCGTCATAATACAGGGATCTAACAGTTGTTGCAATCAAATATGTGTCAAGGTTCAGAAATGTTCACTATTCAGGGGAGATAATTTGTAAGCGACCGTAAAGCTCAGCCAATAGACACGCATTACAATATTCTAAAATTTCTAGGTATGAGTCACGATCATGTTGAACATTTTCTAATCCATATCTATCTCATTTTCACAGCAAAATATTGAAGTGCGTAAATAGTTTAGCCCATCAAATGGATTTTGTTATCAATACGGCAAAGCAATTGAAAGTATGGCTTGACTTTATGACCATTCAATCTTGAATACATTATAGTTATCAAATAAATATTCTCTTCCACTTCGGTTCTGCCCGTAAAATACATAATTTATATCAAATGTATACTTGATATTTTGTGAAGTTGTACCAGCTTTAGGCTAAGCGTGGTTAAGCGTGCAAACGCAGATATGGTTTACTTTAATAGAGATTTTTAGCTTGAGCCGATGCCGACAAACGAAGAGCGGAGACGGCTATTTTTAAGGGAGCGTTTCAAAATGATTCTTTTTTAAAGAAAACAGAAGGCAAAGCAAAATATTTTAATAATTGTATTTATTTCTTTTACAAAAAAAAAAGAAGTTCAAAAGTATTTTTTGAAAAACCTAGTTTGAGTCATCCAAAAATGTCTCGAGACCAAGCTGGCGGAGCAATCTTGGGACTTTGTTCTTAATAAAATCGTTGTATAATAACTGATTTTCCTGAATAATGTCGGCAAGCGGCCTCTTTCTTCTTCTCCGTCTCTGTGTACGTGACGGCGAAGGATCTTCTTGCGACGATGAAAGTCCATTAGCAATGCTTTCCCTCAAATCAGCTGATGTTCCTGGTTGATTATCCTGGTTTGTCTGGGTTTCTTCTTGACTGGCCTTTTGTTGTCTTGTGTCGATCCCTGTATTCTGAAGACGGCGCTCCATAGCATCTATCTGCATTGCCACGCCTGTACATGATAACCGAAACAAGAATATATTATATCTAAAGACGTTTAATTTGCATGTTATTTAACAGTTACTTACTGATTTAAAGTAGAAGTGTAAAACGATATAAGAAGCAAAATATTAACTAAATTTTGAAAATGACAGATTTAATGTGGTTGTTGATTTTTTCTTTGGGGGTGGGGGTGTTGTTTTTCAGCTTATTCAAATATTGTACCGTATGTTTAAATCTTGAATGCTTTTTACTCTCATCTTCATTATTTTAGATAGTTTCCTCGACATTCTATCTCTGAGCTGTCTAAGATTGCCACTAAGGTAAAGAGCTCTTGCATCTTCGGGTAATTGATCGATATTCTATCGCCCTTCATCTAGGACATCAGACCAATTTGTAGGATGTGAACAATAAGCCCTCAAAATCAAAAGAGTTCTCTCCTTGCCACTTTTTACTGGCTGGCTTTCTACGCCTTTGAAGAAATGTGCCTAGAGAAAAAAATAGTCATATTTATTTTTTATTTCAATATATTAGAATAAATAACACTATTTGATGAATCACAATGTATGTTTTCACTCTCTAAACAAATGAACACAATAAAAAGGAAAACAGTCACACACGCAACAAAGAAACTCCAAAACATATAAAACAGTAGTATATGGCCTTCATTATTTCAGGCGTGAATTTATACATGTAACCATCCGTTGAATTATCTTTGTATTTTCAACACTAACGATTTACAACGAAGTACCATAAATTATATAGGTATGTGTTTTATATAACTGTTTTATTTAAAAAATTAAGAAATGTTAAATAAATTAAATACAATAAAACGCAGTACTTACCAACATTATTTCAACCTTCAATTTTACTTCAGCTTTTATGGATACGGATAGCCGGAGACGAACAACGGATAGATTTTTGGGGGGTTATCTCAAAATATTTATTATTCTATTATTACACAGTAAGTCCTATAACCTTCTTACGACTGGTAAGGTAGAAGTGTGTTTTCTTTAATCTCGTCTCATCGATACCAGTTCTTCCATGTGACCGGGGAAACTCCTGAGACATTTTAGATTTGTTAGATACTCTTCGTATTTCATCATATAGGCCTCATAAACTTTCTGCAAGAAACAAATATCTTCTTGTGCTTATGTGGTTTCGAACATACCCGACGTTTATGATGCTGTCGTTATTGTTCAACATATCAGTGTCAAGAATGAACCGCAGGAACAGTTTTATTCGGGACATCGGCAGTACCATGCAATTCATTCACAAATAATAGTTGATTGCCATGGTACCATAGGATATATACAAAGTGGGCTTCTTGGTCATCAATCACATGTTACCTCAGATCGGCACAGCTTTACCATATCCAGAAGAGTGCGGATTAAATTTATCCGAATAATGACTATATTATGACACCATTCGCGTCAGCTCAAATACGCTGAAAACAAGAGCGTCAACGGAAAGTGCCTTAAACTTAACAGAATAATATTAAAATACCGTGTCTGAGTCGAACACGCTATAGCTGAAATTAAACGTTACAGGTCAAGTTCAAGTGTATGGAGACACAAAAGGAATGTTCTTCCAAAAATTATAACGGTTCCAGTCCCACCTTCGATAAGATTTCTTGCATACATGAACATACTGGTCTCGCCAAACTACAGTCCTCACAATTTGCAATGGCTTTGAATTCACAATTTCACCATTTTCGTGTTTAAATGTTTTATTTTGCTAAAGCCAATGATAGGGGGTTCAGACTTAACTTTTGAACTGTCCAGTACCACGGGGGAGAAGTGTTACACGAGGGATAGAGTTCTAATGATAACTTGTCAAAGAGTTCTTGTGATAACTGTCACGGTGTTTGTCGGAAAACTATTGTATATACTGCAAAAACACTCGTCATAATGGTAATTTTTTATCATTAAAAAGTGAGTTTTAGGTGCTTAATTAAACTTTAATAATTAAGCTTACCAGACATACTGTACTATGTGTCAAAACTTATTCATAGTCAATTTTTCATCGCTTCTTGCTTAAAATCTGGTAGTTTTGAGTAAAATTTTCAATTTTTTTGCCAATTCGCAAGTATTGACCTGTTTATTTCAAGTCTTCATCCTTGCCATACATAATTACCTAATGATAATACAAAATTGCAAACATGAAGCCCCGGCTAACAAGTTTATACCCGATTTTTCAAATGTCCCGGAGTTCTTGTGATAACTAAAAATATGTTCTGGAGTTCTTATGATACTTTTTGTTACTGTAAATGTGTTTCTTGCGCAAATCACGGCACGTTTTAGCGGTTTTTTTATTACTCAATAAGGTTGTAAATACTTATGAAATATAATACGCTCATCCTTTGCACAAAAAATGTGGATTAAATGTTGGTCTTGAGTGTCTGCAAAGGATAAACATGTGATAGGTTGTCATATACAGTAAAGATTGAATCAGCGGCAATATCATGGCCTAAACCACAAAACAAACATGTCTCAAAACTTACACGTTGTTCTCAACCATCTTTCTTAAGCAGATAATATAAAGTTGTGCATCGCTTATCTAAGGGCTAAGTAATTTGTATCATTTTATACCATAATAAACAAATACATGTATAAAACCAGGATAATTTCTTGAAACCTTTGTTTCCAAAAAGTACGACAATATGATAAAAACTCAAGTGCGGTTGGCTCCGTAACTACTGATCTCTCGAACAAATATGAAAGTCCCTCCAGGTTCGAGCAAGACAAGTAAATTTTACTCAAAACTACCAGATTTTAAGCAAGAGGCGATGAAAAAATGGACTATGAATAAGTTTGACACATAATACAGTATGTGTGGTAAGCTTAATCATTAAAGTTTAATTTAGCACCTAAAAGTCACTTTTTCATGATGAAAATTACCATTTTTGTCAAGTGTTTTTGCAGTATATACAATAGTTTTCCGACAAACTCCGTGACAGTTATCACAAGAACTCCTTAACAAGTTATCATAAGAACTCCATTCCTCGTGTAACACTTCCTCCCCCGTGAGTACAGTCCATGGTAAACTCAATAAAATCGAGTTGGCGTTTCAGCGTTGCATTCATATACCCTTTAATTGCAATTTCCGCGCCAATAAATATAAGACTATTAAGGATATAAATAAATGATAAAATAGAAATTTCAAACGTTATATGAACGTTATATGTAACTCTCTCCTGAAACATATGAAGGAGAATTTGAAATTAAACAATTTTGGAAAATAACGAGTTCTAAATTGCATATTCTTAATTTGAAACTTTTCTATCGATGCTTCTTTGTTGATTTACCACAACAGTCGTTATTCATGATTTCCTTCTGTAAATTCTACGCACAAATATTAACCCTTTCCCCCATGAGCATATTGTGAAAAATGGCCATTTTCACTGAAAAGCCTCCTCTTACAAGTTCAAACTGCTATGAAACTATGAAAAATGCTTCAATACTAATCAAACTTGGCACAGATGTTGACTGGACCATTGCCTTTGTAACGACATGCTCAGTCTTAAATTTCCTGTTACCATGGCAACGAGGGGACATCTCAAAATTGCCAAAAATCACTTTTTTGCCTCGATTTTTTTCATCAAAATTTATTTCAAAGTGCTGCAACTTCTCAAGGGATTGAGATAGAGTCAAAGGCTTTTCAGCGTTGGTTACACGTTACCTTATGATCAACCTGGGGTCATTTTAAGCCTCTCACAAGTCCAAAATTTTCTTGGCGATGAGGGGGACTCCGCCCCCCTTCAAACCCCCCAAACAGAAGGGGGCACATCCCCTTCTGGCAACCCCCTGATGTATTATTTGGATGGGGGAAGGCGCCGAAAAAATGGTCACTTTTTTAACAACATTTCTCAAACGAAAAACAGTGTTTGGGGTCTAAATAGGACATTTTTTCACTGTTTGAGGCCTCAAAAAGGGGGGGGGGGGCAAAAAGCCGTCGAAACACGCTTATATAAGGGAAAAGGTTAAAATGAAAATAAACAGACATCACCGAACATATTTGATTACATGTTTACAAAATTTTGGTTTAATACATAATTTATATACATGTACATGTTTACGAGTCATTAAAAGACAGTTATACTTACTTGTGATCTGTTTTATTTTTTGCAGTTCACTTTTATTGTTATAAAGTTTCAATTCTTTAATTACGTCCTCGTAAGATTTAAAAGGCCCCTCTGAATCATCTGATTTGTAATGCTGATCAAACATCCAACACGAATTGGTGGCAAAGAATATCAGCGCTAGCCTTGTACCAGTATCACCATCATTTATACCAAGCTTTAAAAAAGGATATCATAATGATTGATAGGAAACTGACAGTCAAAATATTATCTAAGATTTCTAAAGGAAACAACAGCATCAACAGCTCTCATGATTATCATACCCATAATGACCATAATGTGTATACAAACTCAACATTTGTAAACATGCCTTCATAATAAATGACAACCACAACGTCGTCTTTAGTAGCTGCCTTGAGTACCATTTCCCTGGAAACGGTCTCCGGAATGACAGGTCCATCTTAATACCAGCCGATGTGTTTGTCACACACGTAATAGCCAGACCCTCGTCAAATCCATTGTAGTGTTAAACAATTCAAGTGTAAGCCCAGTCCCCGTGATATCTAACAAAACCCCAACAATTGTCATTTTATGTCAATTTGTCTCCATCTTTACTGTTTATAACCAGTAACTCACGAATGTGAGAATAACTTCGGAATTGTGCAATCATAGTTACACTGAATTGAGCAATTTTATGGCCAAAACGATCACTACGGTAAGTAAATAAATCACTTTATTTATATTAAATGATAATCAAAATGAATGAAATGAATAATTCTACACCGTTATTGAGATATTTTATCTAAATAGGATAACGCCTGTTTTTGTGTTATGTAGTTCGTAAGAATGGCGATCTCGCTAACGTTTTGAAGTTGCATCGATGCGTATTGATACAATAGCGTATAAATTACATGAGTTGTTTATCCGGTAAACCTAAGACATTTGAATAATTGCTCGTGTATATATTTCTCTGTATGAGATTTCGTGAATGGTGCATCGGAGCAACGTTGGTTACATCATAAGATGTACGTGAATCATTTTTTAGCGACTTCCTTTAGTATTAAATGACACGGCCAGTTTGGTAAATGCCGAAGGTAAATGTATACCGACACGTATGTATATAGTCTTTCCCACGTACGAAAATCATAAAAAATAAACATGTTTAGTTTGCATGATTTACTATAAATTATTTTGGCTCGTTCATTCACCTTGTAACATGTTTTGCACAAACACATTTTATTTGATTATTGCAAAATTTCTGCTTGATTCACATTCCCGCGTTACTCGAAATACTAGGTGATATTACTGAGATACAAATAAGCTCAAAGTGAGTTTCCTGCAAACTATTATCAACTGATCATGATCCGATTGCTCTGTAAAAGAAGCCTTTTTTTAAAAAAGATAATATGAGCTTGTCATAAAACAGCATGGTACAATTTGTACGAAACAGGCGGTCAAATAAGCACATTTTGTTATACTTCATTAAACGGTATAAAGAGTCTCGCTTTTTAATGACATCATAGATTCAAGTTCATTTGATGACTACATGACACGGCAAGTACATGTGTAAACCTTAAACAGGTTAATACAATTACAAGGCTATTTGGTGATAAAGTGAAAAAATCATCTAGTGTATGTTCTTAAAGTGTTTTCATGAATTTAACTTTAAAAGGTTCGTTATTGAGTTGATTAAGTGAAATAATTAAATGTACCTCTGGAAGTAATGCATAAACAAAAGATAAAGTTGTGTTCATATGCTCCAGTGTAGAAACTTTTGATATATCAACAAGCAGATACAGGTCTACACCTTTTGTGTTCCAGACATTTATTGTCTTTGAATTGACCGTATCGGATATAGTTCTATTTTTCGAAATCTGTTTCAAAGCCGAAACCAACTCTATTCCTACTCTAGAATCAACCATAGATGTCCCTGTAAATAACAAATCAATACACCTGAAACACTTTTCAAGTACATTATTCATCAATTGAATTAACAATTGATAGTTTGCAGAAAGTACCTTTCAGCATTCACTTACATCAAAAGGAGTGTTGTTGTGTTTTGTTTTTTTTTCCAAAAAAAAAAAACTGCATTCGCTACATTTTTCGTTCACGTTTCACGTGACCAATTACTCTGCAATACTTTTACAAGTGAGATAACTTAACCTTTTTCTCTCTTGAATTGTGTTTAAAAAACACCAGATCCTAAAACATCCGAAAAGGTCATATTTAAAGTAGCGTAATCTTACCAACATCTGAAACTAATACTGTGTTGTAAAATCGTACAATTATATGTCAACAATGGTCTGCAACACTGAAGGTAGGAATTTGAGTAACTTACCTGTGCAATCTATAGGGGTACCGCTCCAGTACCTATTTTTCATGCATGTCCGGTTTGTAGATCCTCCGTAGTATTTTCCAGACTTACATGTGAAGTCAAGTACGTCGCCAATCTGATATATTCCCGAAGAGGTTTTAGTTATAGCTCCAGGTGGCAAACATGGAGGTGGGCAGTATGCATCTGAAGACGTTAACAAAGAATTTAACAATAAATAATACAAATTACGATTCAAGAAAGTTCCAATGAAAACACTTGAAAATCCCAGCTTAATGTAAATTTAAACCATACTACTAGCTAGGGCGATATGTGAATGACTGTGAATTAATTGCTTCCGAATGTTGTATTTACAAAACGTTTGGCTAAACAAATAATGGAAAAAGTAACACATGCCGCAGTAATCAAACCTCATTTATCTTGATTAATTTATCTGAAATGTAGCCTCCTTTATTCTAAGATAAAGATCACCTATCATGCGTACACTGTGATATGCTTTCTGGTGATTTTCTGGTTTCGAGATACCTACAGTTCAAAAAAAAGTTAAGCGAATCTTTTACGGCTACATATAATTTGTGAAATTGAGTCAGTCTGGTGATTTTGTTTGAAGATGAAAGTATTACGAAACATTATTTTAAGATTATAAAACATTTATTCTAGTCACCAAATAAGTAAATGTTTGTTCATTTAATATCTATTTTTATTTTACTTGATAATATAATACATAAAAAATGATAAAGTAGTAGCGGAGGACGTCACTCTAGACCACTTTTTTTCCTTCTTTGTCTATATAAAGCAGCCATCTTGGATTTTGATTTTGGGTGCAGTCAATTGTCAAGAGGATATGTTTGTCTTTATGATAAGTCATACTTTACTTAACAATTGCTTAACATGTCCAAACCAAGATGTCTGCTTTATATAGACAGAGAAGGAAAAAAATGGTCTGGAGTGACGTCCTCCACTACTAATGTATGTTACTGGGCTTTTTTGTATTTTCTATCATTTATTACAATTATCTAGTCACTTTAAACTAAAACCTGATGATGTGACTTAATTCTAAGATACCTTCATGTGCACATTTTACACAATCATGATCCCATTTTCCGTTCGACTGACATTTCCACTTCGAGTATCCTATCAACTCGTAACCAGGTTCGCATTCGTAACTCACCGTTCCATTCACGTAAATGTGATCAATTTTTAGATATCCGTTTCCAGGGCTTTGCGGCTCAATACACTGTATACCTAAACGCCAGAAATATTTTTCACTTTATTTCACAATTGTTATCTTTTATTGATGCGGCAAGGGAGCTTAAAATCTAGACATTGAATATCACATAAATGATAAGTAAATACATACTTCAATATATTTCTTTTAAATTAAATGTTAAATCTATCTTGCTTTTATTTTCTAATTTATTTTTGTTTAGGTAAAAGAAATGTCAATTTATCCGAATAAAACTCACGTTCGCAGCCAAAGTCACCAAGGAAGAGATTGCTGAAACTAGATGGTGACATGCAAATAGCAGATTTAACGCCACCCTTGTGCCGATATCCGTCTTCGCATTCCAGTTTCATTTCTTCAAGAAATTCATAGGTTGCTTTCAAGTTTGAAATATTTCCATTACTTATGTCATCAAACATGGTAGCATTGCATTGTATTGCTGAAACATAAAACAATTAAAAGCTTGCTTTTTAATGTATCAAAAAAATCACAAAAAGGTAAATTTAGGCTGATTCTTAAAAAAAAGCGAAACTTAATTTCATTAACAAACTCAATCAGACCGAGCCTGCAATATGTTCAATTTAATTTTTTTGTGGAAATTTCGAGACTCCGTTTATCTCTATCTTGTTACTATATTTTCGAAATTTCAAGTTGCCGTTGTAAAAACTTTAATGTTGTTGAAATAGCGTTCGTAATTGACAAATCACTTTGGATTGCTGGTGAGACCAATATGATTAAGATCAATGTCAATGATTTTCAAAAGAGAAAATTGATTTCAGGTTTGCAATCATAGTTAAGAGTGAGATAATGAGATTTTAAAAAAAAAAGAAATCTGGTGTATAACAGGTAAAGTTTTAGTCTTTTCTTTTTTAAATTACTAATATGGAAAAGAAACATAGAATAAAAATAAGCAGACAAATATTAGTCAATTTCAAACTGCTTGTCTTTAACTTCATGTTAATTAGGTTTGAGACTTAAGGAGGTTAACTATAGGGTCAACATTTACCTTGACATTCACCAAAATACAATTGAGATTCTGGAAAGCCATTCCAAAAGCCCTTCGCGTCGCAAATGATATTTGTAAACCCTGATGAAGTATCAGGTGGTGCAGTTATTCTTGATGATGGCGGCGATTTTTCATACTTGCGGTTATAATCATCAAAGTCTCCTCCGTTAGAAAACGACGATGTGTCATGGTCATTAAACAATATAAAACTGCAAAAAAGAGAAATCATTTAATGATTCTATATTGGTTTGTTCCTGTTTGATCAGGTTCTATGGCAATGGTAAAATTCACTATGTGATATAATTAAGTGTTATTCTTTAAAATAATTGACCACTAACAAAATCGGTTGATATCTTAAGTATACGTGTTTAAGGGGTTACTTAACTGAAGCTTCGAAAGTGGTTGGTGTCAACTAGTTTTCAATTATTTTTTTTTGCTCATTTTCATTGATCACATCTTAGTTATTTTCATGCCAAATAATGCTCCTGAAATCTACCACGTGAGTACTTTGTAGTAAATAAAGAAAACATACAACATTTGAACAGCGATGAAAGCAGCATTATGAATCATACGAATACAGAAAAAAACCTGTACATATGGATGATATTTACCCGGTTTTACAGCTGTACTTTACTGTATCACCAGTGTAGAAATCGTTTATGGCTTTCGTATCATTATTGATCGGGACAGGCATAACGTATCTTGTCGTTACTTCTCTTGTCATATCCTTTGGCCATGGTGGATCTGAACATTTTGTCTTTGCTGGTTATATTGAAAAGTCAGTGTAACAGATTTAGTCATGCTTTTTTAATATAAAATACATAAATATTCTATTTTTCATATAATAATAAATACAAAAGATTAGTAAATAGATTTTTTTTGAGAGGGGTTTAATCTGAGTTATCGTCAATGTGTTTCATTCTATATTCCTTACATGCGGTGCCCAGCTCCACAACTATTATTTCTTATTATGATATATGCATGGGCATATACAGAGCTCTCCCAATAAGTCATGGACAACAACGTTTAAATACAAATTACTCAACAGACTTCTAAAAAGATTGTTGTGATTGCAAATATGCTATTGTTGAGTGAACATGCACAAAATCAGCTATATATCATTTAATTTGATAACACAAAGCAAATTAAAAGGTTGTCTAGTAACGCAATGCGGCTCAGTCTAAAACGTCATAATTACATTACGTGACATTATGTCAATGTTTCTTTTTTCAAAGTATCGACTCTGTGAGGAATACACTGTTAATGTAAAATCATCTTCTTCTGACACTGGTATATCAACAATTGCAAAACAATGTCGCCATTTTTTTGTGCATATAAGCACTGTATGAAGAAAAAGTTGCACTGTAAACCTATATGTCTTGCGATTTCCTTGAAAATTCGATTTATAGCGTAGGCATACGGTAAATATTAACGTCAAAACATAACATAGATTTATTACGTTATTAATCACGTACTCTGTTTTAAAGATCGTGTGTAAGGTTGGTAAAATGACAATTTTTGGCGTGGGCCGCATATAAATGCTTCAATATTTTATGTATGCATAATTTTTTAAATAAAATGTCTTATTTTACTTTTAAGTGATGGAGATAGACTAAATCATTTTAGGCTTGGGTGTTATATTGTTGTTTTTACAGCCATTGTCCACGACTTTGTCGGACAGCCCTCGTATATGATAATGCATTTAAACATTTTCAAGAGAATACAAATTGCAGCAAATTAACGGCTTTAATTAAAAGATATTATATATTATAATGACTAAATTATAAACAATTCATAGTTCAGTGAAGGTAAAATCAACCACTTATTATTTAGTAAGGCATTTAGTTCAAACAAAACGCCAGATCTAAAACGATTTCTTTATTCATTTTATTTTATAGCTATAATTAGAAATAAACACATACATTCGCATGTCACATTGCGTAGATATAAGAGACCACCAGTAAACAAAGCTCTCCATACGTATCTTCTTTTATTATTCTTTTCGACATCGCAGTTAAAGGTAAGTTGCTCCAAGTCTGGTATATTACTAACAAAATCTGCCTGGCACACATATTTTCGTTGCGTTTTATTCAACGTTTCGAAGGAGCCATTTTCAAGTATCTGACCGGCTTTATTGCATTGCCTTTCTGTAGCAAAAATAAGATATTAGTAAAACTTGAAAGCATATTGTAGGGTGGTCTATGTAAAGGTAAGATGCGATAGAGAGGTAAACGCTAGATTGGAAATTGCAAACATATTGTCATTCCCGTGTTTAACTTTCTAAAGCATGTACAAATTCTTATCCGTGTTTCTTCAAGAATGACACAGTCAGATATTCAGAATCAATAACTTAAACACGGATGTTTATTTCATGTAACGATGGTTTTTCTTTATCACTTGGATCCCGAAACCTGTAATCCCGAAAACGATTGGTGTCTTGCTAATGACGAATATATCAAGCTCTTACACGTTCCACCATTTCTGACGTGTTATTGTTAGTATATATATACAAGTAAAATGTTTTCCTGCGGTGAACATTTTAATGATACAAAGATATTTCATTTAACTATTTTCAACATTATTGGGGGGGGGGGGGATAAATAAACGTTTGTATCAGGAATATACATGTAGTTGACAACTGAAGAAACGATCAATATAGAAGAAGCTAGGTCTTTGGAAACTGGTGACCGTTGAAGACCGGAGAAGGTCGAACATAAAACAATTATTTCTTTTTAAGAAAATGATTAAATAGGCCTACCATTTTATGAATAATTCCGAGCAAAAAATAAATAAAGTAAACACACAAGTTTACGCAGAAAATATCTCTATTTGTTATAGCAGATGCCACTACGAATATTTTAATTTTGTAGATTTTCAGTATAAACAATTTATTGTTTGTAAAATTTAAGATAGATATTAAAGAAACATTGATAAATTTTCAAACACATCATTCAAGTTTTTCCACCTTAAACGGTAACATAATTATAGAAAATTAGAAATACCACGTAACAGTTTTTTGTTCTTAATTAGGTGTAATTCGGACTAATTCCCTACAGATAAATCCGTAACGTACCGGTAAACGGTATTTAGCTAGGTTTTCGAAAAGGTCCATTAACCAATCATGTACGGTTTACAGATCACATGCTCCTCCATGTACCGAAAACGGTCACGTGCTCCTCCATGCCTCAAAAGTTAAACGCGTACCAATACCCTGCGGTCTCCAGACCGCAGGGAATGATATCGAATCGGCTGGGGTTATTATCCCTTTCCATAAGGTTGCACGTGATCGCGAGACAACAATCTGCATCAACGGAAATAAGTAAGTCATTTTATGATATTATTAATATATTAATAGTAATTCAAAGGAGAGGCAAGAGCACCGTAACGGCCAGCAATATACGCCCGACTATAGATTTGCTTAAGTAAATAACTGAATTAAGGAAGACACCCATTCATTTAACTTTACAGGAACAGGTTTTTACGAAAAATCATTATACATGTATTTTTATAACTAACCATGGTAGTAACCAAGCTCTAAGAATTAGACGACCAAATAGAAAAACTAACTTTTGCTAAAGGTATATCCTTTCAAATTAATACAAAAATGTTGATTTTTAAATAAATTGAATAAAGATTTAAAGAAACCTACATATAGTTTTATACCGTTTATGCAAAGCATAGATAAATAAAAAATAAATGAATAAATAAATAAATTAATTAATAAATAAATAAATAAAATAAATAAATAAATAAATAAATAAATAAATAAATAAATAAATAAATAAATAAATAAATAAATAAATAAATAAATAAATATATAAATAAATAAATAAATAAATTAATAAATAAATAAATAAAAACTAATAAAAAAAAGAGGAAAAACTAAAGAAAAAAAATGGTTTGTTTATAAATATTTCTATTACCACTCTTTACACTTATCAATATCCACACAGATAATTCACTAATATACACCCCGTGTACATTATTTATACAATAAATACCCCTGAGCAAAGGGGCAGCATTAGGGCAGCTTTATGGCAGAGGTTTAATAACTTTCATAGGCTGTTGTACGCAAATATCTCAGCTCTCGGTATTTTAGATTTTACCCAAGAATACTTATATTTCTTTTCCTATGTAAGTCCTATGTAAGTCTATAAAAATTAAATGACACCTAAGGCGGGGCAAATATTGAACCCAAAGGCCATAACTTTCATAGAATCCCAAAATACAATGCTTTTATGGAACAAATTCTAAGATTTAACATTAAATATTTACACACTTAGTAAAATTAAATCGTATTAACTCCCTTTTTAGATGATTTTAATTCAGTCGTTTCGTTGGTTGTCATCGTATAAACATTTTGCAACTTACATCATTGGTAACATATCATAAATCTCGGTTAAAAGAAACGTATATCAGCCCCTCAAACATCATTTGTCCTTCAAGGAGAAATAAACTACCAACAATGGGGCATAATGTCACAGGGTCATCTCTTCATGTTTTGAACATAGTTAGGTTCATTCCAGTTTCTTCACTTGTTTTACTCTTTTAATTATCAGGAGATCGCTTTGAATTTCCCTCCAAAATATTTTAGACTCGTGATTTGTCGAGTTGAAAAAAAAACCATTTCAATTGGGGAAATTTGTGCTTCTTAACTTGTTTTATATGTTTTAAGAGTTTGGGAATAATATTATGCTAGTGATTTATGACACAAATAAAAAGCTACATTACAGATAGGTAAAAAGTTTTAAAATTATATTCATAAAGAAGACATTGAAAATATAAATAGTAATTTTATTATTCTTAAGTCTTATAAAAGCAAATTATTGTTTCGTAAAAAACAAATTAACCTTTCATAATTATGAAATAATATTTCGTAAAAACTCGGTCAATTTTTTACTGCTCGTATTTCATTTGCTAATCCAAAAATCATTATTTTTACATAAATTATAGAATTTTGTGCATTACACAGCATTTGTAAGGACATCTTTAAGTTTGTTTATGGAATATTGACTCTATCATATTAAAAATTCAGGAAAAATGTCGATGCCGACGATTGACTGTTGTCAAAAGCTGGAAAGCAATAATTTCATATATCAAATCAGTAAGAATATCGAAAAATAAATGACGAATGTTACATTATACTAAGATTAAACAGATCAGGCGTTACAAAGATAAAATATTGAGGTGTGGAATCACGGGTTTTAACAATTATTGAAATTTCAAGTTGGCCTACCGATCAGACAGTACATTTCCAGTTAGACGAAATTATTATATCTATCGAGTAAAGTATGGATTGTAAAAAAGTATTAAATAATTATGATACTATATAGACAGTAACAGATTGATATAGGGATATTTAGAATTATGTATAACTACTTTGTTACGTAAAATTATTGTCTTAACTTCAGGTATGATGTTTACACTATAGTGATGTGTATAATACGAATAAAAAATGGATATACAAAATAATTGTTAGTTAGAAGTTTTTTCTTGAGCATTATAAATATGTATACTTCTTATGTCAACTTGTTATTTCAATTAGCATTTATAAAACATGTCTGTAACAAGCATTATATGAATGTCGGTGCATTATCCTGTACTTGGTTTAATAGATAAAGATTATCTGTACGTCTTTAATGATGGATTGAGGCGGGTTATGCATGGAGGTACTGGATGTAATATTTACATGAGTGGTAACTAGGCAAGAGAGAAAAAATAACAACTGATGTATGTGTGCAGAATGTGCTTTTCGCGCGCATAAAAGACAACAAATTTTCTACAAGTTCGTAAATTGTTTAAGGTCCAAGAGACTGATTTTTGCCATGTAACGTCTAGCGATCTCCATCATGACATTCAACATGAAGTTACATATATAATACGTTTGGTATACGTGTTTTCAATAAACGTTTGATATCATATATATTGTAATAGTCGTTTTAGTGATAATGACTATTTTGATCAGCCAATGAAAATAAAGTCATGCTTGAGCGATCCTCAGTAGGTATAAATATGGCAATCAGAGCAAGAATTACTCAGTCTGCAGAAGAATTCACCGGGACTAGGTTATTCTATGTAACTGAAGCCTCGCTTATTAAATAAAGGATATTTAGGTCTATCTTATTGAAGCCAAGCTTTATAGGTAGAAAAGAATAACTGACCAAAGTAAATATTTCAATTGAAGCTTCGCTTCATGGATATAGTGTCGATAGAATAGAGATTGTGAAATTACATTTGACTCTGGGTACTTATAAATTTCCATATCTTCTGAAATCATAGCTATCCGAGTAAAAGTAACATATAGGCATTAAGTTTTAAATGTAAGTTGATTGTTTATGGTATATGATAATTTCACAATCATTTGTATCTTATCAAACGGCAGATAGCCCAAAGAAAAATCTATTATATACTCGTTATATATTCACTCGATACACGTTACAATAGGAGACTATATAGTGTAATCATTGTCTGTTGTTTGTGTGCGTGTGTGAGTGTGCGTGTATGCATGTGTATGCTTAATTACACGTGCGTATGTGTGTACGCCTGTCCGTGTGTATGTGTGTGTATGTGTTCGAACCAGAATATATACCCCGTGTCCTAGGCATAACTTGCATGCATGATGAGATTTCAAAAAGGTTGGTACACATAAGCCCTATACTGATATATCTAATTTGAATTTTTTTTTTTTTTTAAATAAGATTTATGCTGTTTGGTAATGACTTATGTACCGTCATGATAATTTTATAATTTGACAACTTACGTTTTCTCCAGGTAATCCTGCAATTCAAACCGAGAGACATCCATAACAAAAATAAAACCTTTATTGCTATCATTTTCCAAAACGAATCGTTACAGAAAACATTGAGTTTAAATAAACGAGATACACGTATCCCACTTGCTACACACTTCAAGCGGCAACTTCATGTTATGTTGAAACCAGAGCAAGGTTGATTGGTTAATTTAAAAGTTTCCCTGAAAAACTCTTATCTGCTTCATGCAGAAAAAGAACACGGTGAGATAAACTTACTGCGGATGTGTTTATCTAGTGATGTTTAAAGTCTAAAAACCAAGCTGATATTTTGAAGTCTTACGTAATTTTCGGACATCGTATAATAACTAGAATAATTCTTTTCTCATAAGAATTTTACACCAAATATCACCCATTAATAATTGTATTTTTAGACTTTAAGTAATTCTATTTAACGTCAGGAATTTTTGTTTCATATAATAAGCTATTTCACAGGTATTTTGTCTAAATTGTATTCAATATCGTAAGGTCTGTATTTTTTATTAATGATAGTTATGTCTGCTTCGTACTTTCTTTAAAAAAGAATGGTTGTCGCTAATATCGAACCGTTATTTCTAAAAGTATTAATATGTTTTAGCTATTATCCTGTCTATCATTTCTGCAACAAGTATTTTTGCTGTAATTAATTTATAATTTCTGCAACAAAAATGTTAGTAGCTATTACTTTGTCTATACATTCTGCAATAAATATGTTTTAGTCACTATTTTTATGTATAATGTCTGCATATAGTATGATTAACAGCTATTGCTGTGTCTATAATTTCTGCAACAAATATGTTTCAGCTTCTATATCATTTATCATTTACTTTTCTATGTATAAATTCCTGCTCATTCCTTTTTGTGCCCCAATTTTAGTGGGGGGGAGGGCATTTAAATTTGTCCTTGTCCATTCGTCTTTCCGTCCGTCTATCCGTTCTATTTTGTGTAGCACGTAGCTAAATAAGTATTTGACCTAGAGTCATGCATTTTTACAGGAATGATGACAAGCATGTGTAGGTGTGCACCTGGGTATTTTTGTGTGGATTTATTTAGTTCTGTTAGATTTATTGCCCTTGACTAAGTAAAAATTTGCATTTTTCAACTTGTGTCGCATGTAACTCAAAAAGTATTTGACCAAGAGTCATGAAACCTTACAGGACTGTTGCTCAGCATGTGAAGTTGTGCACCTGGGGTTTCGTTTGTGGATTTATTCAGTTTTGTTAGAGTACTTGCCCTTGATTTAGTTAAAATTTGCAATTTTCAACTTGTGTCGCATGTTGCTCAAAAATATTTAATCTAGGGTTTTAAAACTATACAGGAATATTAATCAGCATGTATAGTTGTGCACCTGGTTATTTTCGTGTGGATATATTTAGAATTTCTTGACTTAGTGAAAAAATTGTAATTTTCAAATTGTGTTGCACTTAACTCAAACAGTATAGGACCTAGAGTCGTGAAATTTTACAGGAATGTTGATCAACATGTGAAGTTGTGCACCTGGGGCTTCGTTTGTGGATTTATATTGTTTTGTTAAAGTACTTGTCACTGACTTAGTAAATATTTGCAATTTTCAACTTGAGTCACACGTAGGTCAAAAAGTATTTGACCTAGGATCGTGAAACTTTGCGGGAATGTTGATCAGCATGTGTAATTGTGCACCTGGGGTTTCGCTTGTATATTTATCTAGAATTTGTTCCCTCAGTGCTTGAGTTAGAATCAACCAACTTTACAGGATTAATGGTCAACATCACTTTGAAGCTATGCACCTGGGATTTTGCATGTGGATTTTTTCAGTTTTGTTAGAGTTATTGCCCTGGCTTATAATAGTATCAATTTGCAATTTTCAACTTGTTCACGCAAAGCTTAAAAAAAGTATTTGATCTGTAGACCTGAAAGTTTACAATAATATTGGTCAGCAAGTGTACTTATGCACCTTTGTAAAGGCCTTGCCCTTTACTTAGGAACATAATTTTAGTTTTCAACTTGTGGCACATGCAGCCCAAAAGGTTTTTGACCTTGATTCATAAGATTGATATAACAGTGGAGTGCGGGGGCACCTGTGTCCTATGGACACATTTCTAGTGTATCTTTTCATCGGTGGTAGCTGTCTTAAAAGATGTTTTATATGATTGAATTAGCAGAACACAGCGACAATAAGTATATTAATAACACGTCGGTCTGGAGATAACATGCCGTTACAATATGTTGAACTATATCAAGCCAATAAGCACAAAAGAGCACATAAGCCGAAGTGATGTAACAGCTAGCATTACCGGACCGGCAGTACAGAGTACCCGACTGCACCTGTCCGATGTTTTGTTTAGGGCTTATTGATTTATATCATATGTCCAGATGTTAAGTTACATTCGCATATGATCATTAGTTACACTTTAAGGACAAGACAACAAGCGTTCGTGTGTAAACATGTTTAGGGCATATTTACATGCAATCATGTGTATTCACAAATTAGTTTGCAAGTAGAAGTCTATATGCAGAGGGCATGCGATCATTTGTAGATGAGAGCGACTGTAAGAAATTACAATGTCTTATTAGTTAATTTTAATATATTTTTTCCGTAATTTACTTTCATAATGATAATTCAATACGATAATTTACAATTATTCTTTTCATAGCTGTTTAACTAAATGTAAGTTATATCCTATGTTATGTAGTATTAATTTTGTTTCATTGGTCTGATAACTACGGTGTCCTTATCGTGCCATTAAGAATGTCGTCCGTCGCGTCTAAGGGTAGACACACGACAATGCGAAGTGACATCGCGACAATGCGAAGCGACGCTCGACAACGCGAAGCGATATGCGACAATGCGAAGCGACGCTCGACAGTGTCAAACGATATGTCGCACTGTCGCCTAGAAATGTCGCGGTAAAAAAGGGCGACATTTAAGAGATGTCGCTTCGCGTTGTCAAGTGTCGCTTCGCATTGTCGAGCGTCGCTTCGCGTTGTCGCGATGTCACTTCGCGTTGTCGCGATGTCACTTCACGTTGTCGCATTGTCACTTCGCATTGTCGAGTGTCGAGGTTGGTAGAAGTGCATACCACGACACTCGACAATGCGAAACGACAACGCGACAATGCGATACGACGCTCGACAATGCGAAGTGACACTCGACATCGCGAAGCGACATTTTTAAAATGTCGAGTAAATGTCGCGTTATTTTTATGATTTTTACACCGCGACGCTCAACATTGCGAAGCGACACTCGACAATGCGAAGCGACACTCGACAACGCGAAGCGATACTCGACAACGCGAAGCGACACTCGTCAATGCGAAGCGACATTTGGAATAATATCGTATCGCATTGTCGTGCGTCTACCGGTGCTTGGTCATAATTTACTAACTCACCGACAAACGGTGCGATCATGGAAGGGGTCGCACTAAACTGCTGACGAATTAGCTGACGATATAGAATATATAGGAAACTGCTGACCAGTTAAACAAAGAAGGATTATCGAAAACTGCTGACCAGTTACACAAAGAAGGGAAACATTGAAGGTGTCAAATTGCCGTTGGTGATATTACAGGCGAGGTCGAGAAATACTTGATAAAATGTTTTTTCAAGATGTCAATATTACAAATGATACATATTAATTATAAAAAATTCAATTGATATATATTGTATATTTCTCAATTTATTTTGATATAATATTTTATTTACGTACCTTAATGAATTTTCTTCTATGTGTTATATATTGGTTAAAATTTTAAAAATGTAGTCAAAATATGATGTACGAAAAATCATAATTTGTTTCAAGTACGTATAAAACTATGCATCATAGGTTAAAATATATACATGTACATATACGTTATGTATATTTTATCAAAATATAATTATTATGTCGTATTTAGTGCAAATATGAAATAAAGTGATTTCTGTTTCCTTATTTGTTGTTCGTATAATTGTATAAGTAATATTGAACAAAAATTAATAATGTGCTAATTGTTATAGTTAATAAGCTTTTATTACATTATAAACAACATGTTTCCACAGATATCCATTAAACTGATAATTTATCGAGATCGATATGCCCCAAGGTCATATTAAAATCGATTTCACACGCGACGTGTCATTCTTGATTTATCTATGACAAAATACAATAAACAGTCAAAAATATGTTATTAAAATGCTGACCATATTGTAGAATCTGCTGACCAGTTAGATATATAGAAAAAATTATATTTAAATGCTACGAAATTGTTACTCATTATGCAAATTTAATATATTTTATAAAATAATGTCGACATTTCATTAAGTAAAAACACTGCTGACCAATTTAATGTTAATTCAAATTGATTTAAGCCGTAAAACTCTCTTATTATATATGGTCAGCAAATTTAACGCTCTTTACATTCAGGCGAGAAAATGCTGACCAGTTAAACATATAGTAGAATCTGCTGACCAGTTAGATATATAGGGAAACTGCTGACCAGTTAGATATATAGAGAAAAATATATTTTGCCGTGAAATTGTAATTCATTTTATAATGTATGCAAATTCAATATATTTTATAAAATTATGTCGACATTTAATTAAGTAAAAACACTGCTGACCAATTTAATATTATTTCAAATTGATTTAAGCCGTAAAAGTCTTCTTATTCTATATGGTCAGCAAATTTAACTCTCTTTACATTCAGGCGAGAAAATGCTGACCAGTTAAACATATAATAGAATCTGCTGACCAGTTAGATATATAGGGAAACTGCTGACCAGTTAGAAATATAGAAAAATATATATTTTGCCGTGAAATTGTTACTCATTTTATAATGTATGCAAATTTATATATTATATAAAATCATGTCGACATTTAATTAAGTAAAAACACTGCTGACCAATTTAATGTTAATTCAAATTGATTTAAGCCGTAAAACTCTTCTTATTCTATATGGTCAGCAAATTTAACGCTCTTTACATTCAGGCGAGAAAATGCTGACCAGTTAAACATACAGTAGAATGTGCTGACCAGTTAGATATATAGGGAAACTGCTGACCAGTTAGATATATAGAGAAAAATATATTTTGCCGTGAAATTGTTACTCATTTTATTTATTTTTATTATTTGATAGCCAATGGTAGACTTGACAGTGATTTAGGTATCGGGGCTGTTACTTTTACCTCCC